GAAACCTTACTGAAGGACTGGTTATCTCGTTCCTAGGAAAAGAGATCACACCTTCCTCTTACGCCAAAGACCTAGGGCTATTCATGGACAGTTATTTAAGTTATGATCATCATATACGACACGTCATATCATCTTCAATGGCAAAACTGTACCAAATAAATAGAGTAAAGGACAGCTTCGATAGCGAAACCCTCCACACGATTGTCAATGCCCTAGTGATGAGCAGATTGTATTACTGCTCTACGGTGTGGTCGAATACATCGGCAACAAACATAAAAAAACTCGAAAAAGTACAAAATTTTGCTTGTAGGATCATAACAAATACAAGGAAATACGACCACATAACACCAGTACTACAGGCGATCGGTTGGCTCCCAGTCAAGGAACATTTACAGTACAGAGATACACTAATGGCTTATAAATGCATGAACGAACTTGCACCGCCGTACTTATGTGACCAGTTTTTAAAACGAAATGCAGTTCACAACAAGAACACCCGGAATAAAGACGACCTTGACATTCCCACATGCAAAACAACATCAGGTCAAAGAAGTTTTTGCTATAGAGCAATAAAAATCTGGAACACTTTAGATAAAGATTTTAAAAAACTACCTTTTAAAACATTTAAGAAGCACTTAAAGAAAAATATGTTAACAAATAACGTTAACGGAAACCTATCTTAGTTAAAGTATTAAAATCTTAGTATAACTATATAACTAGGATTTCTCTTAATTGTAAACATATTTTATAAACATAGCATAGTCAATAACGTAATTGTAGATAGAAATATACCTATTTTTAGCCTTGTTAGTACATACTGAAAAGCCCTATTGGGAGTATGTTTTATGTATAATAAAATAAATTAAAATAATAATAATAATATAATATTACTGTATAGGAGATCAAATTCTTCAAATAACCGAAATGCTTTCGATGGAAATGTTTCAGAAGTCGCCAAGTCTCTACCGCAATATATACGATCGCAGATAGTGCATACCTATCTACATTGAGAATTTCTATCAACTATTGAGGCTTAGGATTCTCATAATTTATACTATTTTCAATGCCAGGCAAATTGACTGGGGAAAAAGAATTACTGATACACTCATATTATACTGTGTATTTATAAATATATAAATAATATATGATGTATACAAATTTTCCGACGATATAATATATGCAAGACAGAGTCAGACATATCTATTCTGTCGCCTCATACACAAACAACGACAGTGCATGCATTTATTCATTTATATTTTCAGCGCTGGCTCTTTTACCTCTTGTCCAGGTTTAAACGTTCTTTGGTGGTTCTTTTGAAATTTTAAATAATTATATTAATATATCGAAAAACCAGACTTCAATTCATAAACAAACTTACAGCCGAAAAATATATCGGCATGGTAGAAAACGCGGGTAGCGGACTACGGACTACGGATTACGGACTACGGATTACGGACTACGGATTACGGACTACGGATTACGGACTACGGATTACGGACTACGGATTACGGACTACGGATTACGGACTACGGATTACGGACTACGGATTAGGACTACGGATTACGGACTACGGATTACGGACTACGGACTACGGATTACGGACTACGGATTACGACTACGGATTACGGACTACGGACTACGGACTACGGATTACGGATTACGGATTACGGACTACGGATTACGGACTACGGATTACGGATTACGGACTACGGACTATGGACACAATCTTTAAAAAATGCGAAGATGTTGCCTTCACTCAATAAAACATTTTGGCATTTTTTATATATTTTTTCAGGCTTTAGGTAAACAAAAGATTTTAGCAAAATTTCAGCATATGAAACCATGCAGACAATTTGATAACATATATGGTGCTATTTTGTGAAAATTAATGACGTTAGTAATAACTAAGATCCGTAGTGACTATGTCACGCAGCTAGGAATTTTATGTTTTTTGTGCGCTTTTATAGGCAATTGCTTTCTCGGAGGTGCAAACTGTTATGCAAATTATTGATTTGGAGCGGTTTATTTGGGACTTCCTCGAGATAAGACACGATCGTTTTATGTATCAAACCACGTTTTAAACGATTTCAATTTGCACAGAGTCTTTATTCATTACTCTATGAAAGGCTATACAGCAACATTCAAATATGCAGTCGCCCATAAATATTTGCATGTAAACGTGAACGAGAATAAACGCAACACAATGTTCATGTAAATAAAATAAAAAACGGCGGAAAGCACATTCAACAAATTCCATATAGTTTTGCTATAATCCCATATCCCAGCTAGCACAATCACGTTGTATGAACGTTGTATTAGCGTTCGTCGAACGTTTGGATAACGTTATTTATTAATGTTGGGTAAACGTTTTTTTGTGAAATCGTAGGAACGTGGTATCAACGTTAGGATTAACGTTACAGCGCGACGTTAATACAACGTTCATACAACGTTCAACTCAATGTTCATATAACCTAATGTCCGACGTTAATGCAACGTTCAGCCAACGTTTGGCGCCAACGTTCGGCCAACATTAAGATAACGTTGGATATCAAGGTTGAGACAACGTGAATTGTTTCTGGGTATTTGAAAATTCCTGCAACTTCGTTTGCGAGATTGCGAATACAGATAACTTAGAGTCATCTGAGCCATTGTTCGCCAGCCTGTGAATACATGTAGATTTTATGTCATTGACATTGATTAAAACATTTCTAGCAAATTGACAAGACGGCTTCGACAAGTCGCGCTATAACGTTAATCCTAACGTTAATACTACGTTCCTACGAGTTCACAAAAAAACGTTATCCCAACGTTAATAAATAACGTTATCCAAACGTTCGACGAACGCTAATACAACGTTCATACAACGTGATTGTGCTAGCTGGGATATGGGATTATAGCAAAACTATATGGAATTTGTTGAATGTGCTTTCCGCCGTTTTTTATTTTATTTACATGAACATTGTGTTGCGTTTATTCTCGTTCACGTTTACATGCAAATATTTATGGGCGACTGCATATTTGAATGTTGCTGTATAGCCTTTCATAGAGTAATGAATAAAGACTCTGTGCAAATTGAAATCGTTTAAAACGTGGTTTGATACATAAAACGATCGTGTCTTATCTCGAGGAAGTCCCAAATAAACCGCTCCAAATCAATAATTTGCATAACAGTTTGCACCTCCGAGAAAGCAATTGCCTATAAAAGCGCACAAAAAACATAAAATTCCTAGCTGCGTGACATAGTCACTACGGATCTTAGTTATTACTAACGTCATTAATTTTCACAAAATAGCGCCATATATGTTATCAAATTGTCTGGTTACCTATGCTGAAATTTTGCTAAAATCTTTTGTTTACCTAAAGCCTGAAAAAATATATAAAAAATGCCAAAATGTTTTATTGAGTGAAGGCAACATCTTCGCATTTTTTTAAAGATTGTGTCCATAGTCCGTAGTCCGTAATCCGTAGTCCGTAATCCGTAGTCCGTAATCCGTAGTCCGTAATCCGTAGTCCGTAATCCGTAGTCCGTAATCCGTAGTCCGCTACCCGCGTTTTCTACCATGCCGTTTTGTTATTATAATATTAACTGTTTGTGATTGGCTAATTGCGCTGGGACTGAAAAGGGGGCGGGTTAACAAAAAAACTTAGCCAAACCTGGCAGGAAGTCTTTCGTCGTCGTCGCCTTGCCCGATTTCAAGAACCGCCTGCCATGCAGGCTATCACCAAGCCTGTTGCCAGACACTTTACCTCTGGTAATCACTGTGTCACGGACATGAAAATTAGAGCCCTCTGTCCCATTTCCGGTAATAACGATAGCCGTTAACGACAAGAAATGCGACTCATTCACAGTCTTGGCACTCTCCATCCCGCTGGCATGAATAAAAGACTCTCTTTCATTTAAGCTACTTCACCCAGAGTAATATGACTCGCATTTCTTTGTTTACATCAAAGCTGGTTGTAATACGTTTTCGTTGCTGATCAGGCTTGCCTCATTGCGGGCTATTCTTAGACCCACAACCAGGCGTCTCTTTGCCACTGTAATGTGTTCCAATTTATTTTGATTTTTTGTTTTCTATTGGCCCAATTTTATCACGTGTTTCACAGGTCAAAACGTCGATAAGTGTTTTGTCTTTTTTAGACAGTTATTATACCACATTTGATGCTATGTGTAATGTGTTTACGAATGTAGCTAAATGTTTCATACTCTCATTACTCTGTTAGTGCTTGATCGTATTCTTCTTCAATCGTGAAACAACTAAGGGACAAGTCGGCGCAAGGTTTTCGTTGGCGTGAATGATATCTAGACTCTTTGTGATGATCTATCTGAAAATTTTTCATTGTTCTTGCAATGCATGTTTACTTTCATATAATTTCTGCAGAAATCAAGCTAGTTTCAGCTCAAATATAGCAGTATTAATTTTGATTCGTATGGCGCATAATTGAGCGTCATGAAAAGTAAGACGCGGGCCAAGTGTCGGGTTTCTTCCACCTGCAACTTTTACAGCTGAACATCAGAACAAAAGTCCCGTACGTAACTATACTTTTCGGCAGGATGATAAAAAAAATAATGAAAGACAAGTGGGAATGTATGACCTGCGGAATTTACCAGAGTTACAAAAATGGTAAAATCTTTGGTACAAGAGGGAGGATAAATTATAATAATTCTTATGTATAGCTGTACACTTAATATGCAAGCATATAATACAATACATAAGCAAAATAAATTTTATATGAATCGTGTTCAAATAGGCATGAAATTGCTCTACGTCACTCTTACGTATTCAAGAGCTTTATTCATACCCTTTTCCGCCAGTATAGTGGAACAGGTGGTGTAAAAACCAAATGTTCGATTTCTTGCATAACCATCTGGGGTTTAATAGCGCTAAAGGCCAGGGGATCCCATGGTACAACCAGATTTCCGATTGTCATGCGTTCCATTAATTTTAAAAAAATTAAGTATTAATTTAACAATTTAAGAAAATATTTGTCTCTCCTGTAACTGGGTGTATGGAAAACATTTGGAAGCATTCATCCGTCTCTCGTACAAGCGGTATAGATATGGAGGTACAGCATCGAACGATTCTACGTTTCTACCGTTATTCAATTTATGAATCTAGCAATAATTTTTGAATATTTACGTAATATTCATGTACCTTATTGGGATATATAGAGAGAACCAGAGCATGCTTAGCAGATATTTTCAGTAGAAATAGATCTGAAAAAATAAGGTATTGTTAATAAATTCAACTTTTCCACTTCAGCTTTAGGTGACTGAGGAATCTTACTTGCGTTGGCTATATTGTTTATTCAGTACAAACATGAATTGCTTGAAGATTGGTGTCTTTGCTTGTATACTAATTCATGTTTCCTTAAATGAGGCGAAGGGTAGATGTGGGGTAAGTAAACCGCCGCGGGTCTGTATTTTCAATATGGCGAAGTCATTGGATTTAATTTGTTTCTCATATTCTATCAACGAAAGCGGCATATATTATACATCTCATGCATGGCCATGAACTTTTAATTAACCATTTTGTGTACTAGCAAAATAATAATTATTATAATAATATAATCAGATATTCATATATAATTATCTAAGTCTTGTGCATGCATGTACAGCTGTAGCTGCCAGCAACTTGTACTGCAGTATTTATGAACAAAAAAATTAAATGCAAGGTATAAATGGTATAGTTTACTTTTAACTTGAGTAAGTGGCAGAATTGGCCAGAGAGAAGTCATGTATTTTGGGTTAACAGGCCAGACGTTAGAATAGAGTCTTACTTCGGCAAATAAAAGTTGATAATAATATTATGTGTTCAGGTTAGAGCTAAAAAACCGCGTATAAAATCGATCGTACAAAAGCAAGGCACTTTTCCAATATCGCTCCTCAGATCAAATTCGCCATTCCAAAGAAATTTGCTTATACAAAATGAAAGCGCTGTTGAACAGAATTCAGGCTCAAAATGAATATTATAATATGAAAGAATATGAAAGTATAATAATTTATAATTATTCGTGTCTCGATTTTATTTACAAAGCTTTTTGCAGATCATACAATTTTTGCATTAATATTTATCTGTGTATATCTCAGTCTCTCTTGTATTTGCAGACCCTTCAATCCTCTTTTGTCGAGAGATGTTCAGAAAATCAAGAAGGAACGTACAGAGTTGCTCTGCAGGTTTGCGGGTACTACTGGCGTTCTAAGAAACGAAATTGCTCTCCTCAAACTCGCTTCCAAATTAAGTATGTCATGCATATATATGCCTATCGCAGCATGGCGATTTTTCCCGCTATTCACTAATTAATAATACAGTAATGGGATTAACGATACAGATCATAAAAAATTAAGACTCTAAAAATAATTTCGTACCAATTGTTTTTCAAGGTACAAGTTGTCTTGATATAAAAAGAGAGGTTGAGTGTCGGAGATGGAAAATATTTGATTGATCCGGACGGAGATGGCGCTGGTAAACAATTTCAAGTATACTGTGATATGACCTCGTTTGGTGGAGGATGGACAATGTGTTACACGACGGACAGTCATGTTAATATTAAAACTGAACTTCTCACCACACCTGCTCTTGGCTATCGTGCAGATTGTAATAATATACCGGTAAATTGACTTTTCTCGAATAAATCGGTGGAATTGTATCATGTCGAAATTGTCCTATATGACATACCTTTGAAGTAAAATGTGGTCAAATGAGGAGTATTTTATAAATTATTGCTCAAATGGCAATTTTTCTGAAACTAAAATACCTCCTCTCATTTTGCGGGTACTAAAAATTCCGGCGGCTGATTGGTCGAGAGGAGTAAATTTGTTTCATTAATCGAACATCACTGGTACTATAATTAATCACGAATTGTACTCGCCATCGCATGATTACCAATAGCTATACTAATAGCCCAACTTCTGTTTGGATAATGTTTACGCTTGTAATTGTGCATACAATTCGTCAATTCCTCTGCATTTTACTGCCAAACGTAAAATTCAAAATTCATCCTTGTCTGCAGGAGTATAACAGATATGAAAATTTCATATCAAATTTATAAGTATATATGAATTTAAATAATATTAATTTTAGTACTTATTCAGAACAGTTAATGTAAAAGTAATTTCTTTCTGTTTTAAGTTCACTGAAGTCATATTTGTTGATGAAAAATCCAAACAAAAAGCAGCCTTTAAAAAAAGTGGTTCACCTGTGACATTCACTGGAAATTACGATAAGCGGGCAAATGCTTATGGCTTGTGGACGGCGCAAGGTGTGGCAACAACGCAGTACAAATACCAAATGTTGATATGTGACACAACGTTCTACAAGGGACTGCACTTCTCCGGGTTCACCAAAAACTGCTACAAACAGTGCAATAATTGGTGTAGTGACACAACCTCCGCCTACTTCCGCACATCTGCTGTCTCACACCAAAGTTACAAAGGTGTTGCATTCAACCAGAATGGTCACAAACCGTTGCCAAACCGCCTCATCAGTGCAGGAATTCGTTAACAAAATAATTCGAGCGGAATAATTGAAATGGAATTAAATTTGAATTTAATAAGCTTAATTACCTGATATAATTTGTAGTGTAAATTTGTGAACTGAGTATTTGAAGAAACTCGGTTTACTTGTTTTGTGTTTTTAACATTTCTAATACTTTTTGTCTTTGTATTAAATTCAGTATACTAACAAAAGTAATTTTTTTTTGGTTTTTCTGGAATAAATATTACATTTCATTACGTGAAAACAATTTTGTTTTACAAGAGTTGCGGATAGGGCTTGGGATAACTAGAGACCTTATTATAGACTCGCGGTTACTTTAATCGCCAAACTGTTAACAAATTGTTGCGTTTTAATTATATACTCTGCGACGATTTTCAGCTTGAACGTTTTTTATGAAACTCGTGATATTCATGCATATATCTCGTGATATCAATACATTTATCTCGTGATATCCATGCATTTATCTCGTGACATGCATACATTTATTTCGTGATATCCATGCATTTATCGTTTTGAGCTGCTTTCACAACCAATCTTGCATGATCAGTCCATAGACATTTCAATGGCGAAGAGTTTATCTCAGATAAAAATGCACTAAAGTCTAAAACATTGAAAATTTGTCCACAAAGCCATCGTTTTTGTGATGAAATTACATAATTATATATTATGAAGTCATTCGTTTACTTTCGAATAACTACAATCTTGTTGCCTTAAACAACGATTTTTTAGTGGATTTTTAATTTAAATAATGAAATTTTTTTTATTTTTTTACAATTCAACAGTGTGCGGAATCCTAGTCTTTGCTGCAATCTGATTGGCTGTAGCAACGGGCGGAATTTTACGATATCTGACCACGGTCCGGAATCCTTTTATGCTCGAGCGAAACCGAATTTGTCTTTTTTTGTTTTTCTAAAAAGTTAATCGTAAATTTATTCACTTTTTATTTTAAAATATATGCATGACCAAATGAATATGACGATAAATTGAAGTGAATTATAAGAAATTAAACAAATAAGGTTTTGATTGCTTATGTTTTTGTCGCCATTGCGGAGTCTGACTATACACAATGCCAATGATATATAATACGACCGAACGCCGCTTTGTGTACAAAAAAAATACGGTATTTAACGTTTTGGTCGGCCGGGTAGAAAATATTTTTCTTTCCGGACCTCGCAGGGTGAGTTTTTTCTTTAAAGACCGATCTTCACTAGGCATGTAAAGTTATTCGCGGGAAGAGAAGCGAAATTAAAAACGTATATCTGGTGAAGATTGGTAAGCGAAGTAATTGGTAAGCGAAGTAATTCCTCGCTTGAAAGTGCGATCAATTCCTACTTTTTATGAATGTCAATTCACTCTAATATATTATATATTATAAATTCACCCAGTAAAAACGAGCTTTTTTACGTACATCATCTCACCCACTCAACTTGCAAGCTCGCTGTGTTTAATTTCGTGCAATCACAATGCTTGACAGTTTATTACTCCGGCGCCAGCGACGGAGTTGAAAATTCGCCCCGGTTTTGTTTTGTTGTTGTTTTTTTTTATTTTTCGTCGTCGCAAGTCTGAAATGGCGCGAAAAATTCTAGTATTTCGAAATGTGTATGTAACCGTATTTATCTACGTCCCAGTCTTTTCTCCCAAGAGTTGTGGTGTACAGCTTTGGCTAGTTTTCCGATGCGCGATTCGATTTCGCTCCCATGATACGGCTAGTCCTCCAAGAGGAACAAATAAACCGTTGTTTTCATGCTGTTCGATTAAGTTTAGATTGAATTGGGGTAAGAATATATTTAATACATGTAGATTCTGGTCCTACTTTAATAATATTTCGCCGTTTAACAAGATGATGTGGTCGTGTATTGCGAGCAAATGGCCTTTTTAAATTTTTTTATTTCCATCAGCGAAGCGGCTACATGGGTTTCTATGAAAACTAGCCACACCAGCTCTGGGTTCGCTCGAATCCAGAGCCAGCTCCGTTTTCGCGAACCCGGGTCCACGAACCCGGAGCTAAATATCCTGTCATTTTGTTGCTTGTACCCGCTTACTTCGGGGCTTTTTGTATCATGTCCGTTTAGCTTAAACGGTGGATAAGTCAAAATTAAATAACACTCTTACAACTCTCCTCTATGGACTTGAATGAGTCAACTTAATTGAATATTATAAACTGAATGTGTATAGTTGTACACAGTACTTAGTAAAAACATTTAGTTCGCTTGTTGCATAAAACGGAAGACTTGCTTTCTATTTTGAACTTATCCACCGTTTAAGCTAAATGGGCACGATACATGCAACCAGCCCAATGCAGGTGTATTCTTCACCAGTTATTGATTTTGCCAAGTATATTCAATAATTCTCATGCTGATTTGCCTAACAATCTTTAATTTTAATTTACTCAGACCTTTCACTACATAAATTTCCTAAAGAATAAATTTATTCTTTTAGGCTATCCACCCATTCATTTTCGTCTATGCGGATAATTCGTGTTGATGAAGGATCCGTTTGTTTACCCGTGTTTATACACAGATGAACTATTAATCTTGCTTGCCCACTAGTTCGTCTAGCCTAATGATCCGTAGTATAAATTGGGCCAATCGTGCAAGCTTAAATTGATCACGAAATTTACAATCATTTACTGCAAGGTTTGTTTCCAAGGCTCAGCTTCAATGCCTTCCACAACTATTTTGCCTAACAAAAACTCATTTGGAAAGATCTCACCTGCATGTATTTTTGACTTCACCGACTATACGCTGCACGTTTTTTGACGCCGCTTTCCAGTGACCAAACGGTCCAAACCTGGGACATTTTGAGTCGTTCGCTGGGAAACTTTTCTTAAGATGCATAGGTTAAGTACCTACCACATTTTCCCTTGCCTTTGTTTCATTTGTCTTGCTCACAGAGGCTTAACTCTTTATTATTTTTTTTGTTTTCGCAAGCTTCTCTACGCGCATGCACATGTTGATTTGCTGCCCGTTTACCGTCGCTTCGAAGGAAGCCTTGCTCCTACTTTCTGACGGCCTATTTCTGTCGAGCGATGTTCGCGGCTTTTCCAATGCTGACTTTGAATGCTTCGAGCTGTAATTTTCCGACAAGGCTTTCTCTCGGATTCCAACAACAATAGAATCACGGATCAGAGTTCTTTGCGTAGAGCTGAAATCACAATGTTCCGCAAGATTAAACAAGTCTACATGTAGCTATCATAAATACGTCGAGGGTCTCCTCTTCCTACTGGCTTCGCAAATTGAACTTTTCTCGCTCAAAGATTACGTTTCTCTTAATGATGAAGAAATCTCCTAGTTTCTTTTTAAGTTCATTCAGTATGATCGTCCGCTTCGCTATCCATTGAATAAATGAGGGCATTAATCGGGTTTTCTTCGCTTTCCTTCTCAAGACCAGACGCTATTCTGAACCATGCAATCAATTTCAAGCAACATACTCTGCATTGAAAGAAAATATTTCCGGTGGTTGCACTTGTCCCGTAACAGAGCGACCAGGGTCTTGCAAGATGTTATTGGCGGTGTCTCTGACGAAAACTAGTAAAATCACTCGTTGTTAAAATTTGAAGGCCGTGTAAACGAATTTTAGCCCGTGGGGATTTAATGCAACTTATAAAAATTAATGCTAAATACGAAAAATTTGAAATTGTGAATATCATTATGATATAATTAAATTTAAATTAGCCTTGTTATTGCTTTGAAAGAAAATGGTACAGCTGACCGCCGAGCAACGAGTGTTTATTGTGATATTATCCCAACAGAGTGCTTAGGCATTCGAACTCTAACAATTACATTGTTATGGGTGATTTCAATAGTTTTCGGGGTTTTTTTTGAGACACCCTGTATATCCAATAGAGCACACGGGATCATGCTCTAACCCTTACTCAATGTGCATATGTCATAACTTCAACAGGAATTCAGGACATACATAATATATACATAATCAGAATTATGCATGCTGATGTTAATATGCTAGAGCACAACAATTTGCTCTTAAACTAAGGAGTTCAATAAAAGTATTTACATGCATGCATCATGTTTAAGCAAACAGTTACAAACATGAGTAAGCAAATGGCTATCCACATCTTATCCCACAAACGCGTAACAAATGAAGGTGTCGAAAACCACGATAGCAAGTGCTACAACGCACTGTATTGCATGCGTAGGGGAATTGACTTGTAATCCTAGTTCTTCCCCTAGCCAAGTGTATAAAGTCTGAGCACAATCAACCACGGGCAGAGAAATGCGTATAGCATTCTTCGTAAGGCCTCAGTGCCTAAATATTATATTATTGTAAAAGCAAAAGTACTAAACAAAAGGAGTTAAAAGCCCCGTTTACACTACACTCAATTTATTGGTACGGCACGGCGAAAATGGGTACCTGTGCCCATTTTATCTATGCTCGGCCTTTGTTTTGGTATAGCCTGAACACAGACCACTAATAAAATAGGTAGGGTACCAATTTTAGCCGTGCCGTGCCAATAAATCGAGTGTAGTGTAGACTGGCCTAAAGTTGAAGAGGCTTTGTGGAGTTGTGCTTATAGACATGCAGAGGTTAGCACAATAGGTTAGCACCAATTTCTCTTAAAGCCAAAGCATAAGAATTAACCAACTCACCCGGATGCTGTACACGTTGATGAAAATTATATCTCTGCTCAGTCGCTGTTAAGTTTCAAACAACACTTTTAAGCGTTCAGCCCATTGTTTTGCAAGGGTTTGATGCTTGCTCGACGTCTTCGCTTCAGCCATGTTAATACCACTTTCCCAACTGTACTGCAAACGCAGTTAACAAACGCCAATACAAACACACCAATTTTCCCGATATAAACACAGAATTCTGTCGCGGTGGGACCTCCAAAAATGTAACGAAGCACTCCCCTTAGATTAACTTCCTATTTATTACTTTGTTACAAGCTCACAAATATAACTTCAAACTACTTTCAAAACGTCGCCCTATCGTTGTTCTCACGTGTCTCTCCTATCTCTAATATTACATACTTCAAAAGGCACTAAAATATCATACTTCAAAACGACACTACTTCTCATACGAAAGAAAGCCCGTTTTTACTGGGGGAATTTATAAATGTATAATATATTAGAGTGAACTGACATTCATAAAAAGTACGATCACACTTTCAAGCGAGGAATTACTTCGCTTCATTAATTCGCTTACCAATTAATTCGCTTACCAATTACTTCGCTTAC